TGGCATTTGATGCTACGGTTTATACGCTTCCGCCATGTCGGATTTAGACAGTGAATATCCGAGAGCAGAAAGTGGAAGACCGTTTCTACCAGAAGAAGAAAAAGAATTTGTAAAACTCTTCAATAAACAAAAATTCAGACTTAGAACAGCTATTTTAACAGTGTGGTTTGAGTATCCCAAAAACATGTTCTTCCAACCGATACCAGCTAAAGATAAAATCACTTTCACGAATAAAGAAGGTAAAAAGGAAACTGGTAACAAAATCAGGTTCAGAAATGGTTTCTGTCACGACGTTTTAACATCGGTCGATATTCAAGAAATAGTGAAAGCCGGTGGACGAATTATTAGAATATTAGATGGTATAGTTTACGAAGAAAATTTTAAAACTCCACCCTATAGAGATTATATTTTAATTTTGAGAGATTTAAGAAATAAATATAAACGAGAAGGTAATATCGTGGGTAGTAACTGCATGAAATTATTAGGTAATTCCTTGTATGGTAAATCAATTCAGAAAGATATATTCACAACTAGACATTTATGGAATGAAGCAACTTTACAGGCCAACTTTGATTCACGCGTTAAAACCTATGAGAAAATTAATGATACTCAATATATTGTTGAAACAGAAATTGAAGAAAAAGAGATTACTACCGAAGACAGTAAATCTACAGGACTAACACCTAGTCATTTGGGATCATTCGTTTTATCTCACAGTAAAAAAATATTGAACAATTTCATTCACGTCATAAATGGATTTTATAAACCCGAAATATACTATACCGACACCGATAGTTTGTACATTTCATCCAAAAATTGGAAAAAACTAAACAGAGCTGGCTTGGCACCAAAAGTCAAATACAACATCGTACTAACTTCTGATGGTGTTTTAAAAGAAAAGAAAACGTTTAAAGGTTATTCTAACGATAAGATAAGTGTAGAAGATTACGTTCAGTTAGCAAGCGGACATGATGTGTCGAACGAATTTAATAAACCATGGGAAAAAAGTTTCACCAATGGAGTAGTTATTCCAAATGATAAACAAACTAAAGTTTTTAGAAGTTATTTGAATAATGTTAAAAGAAAACCACCAAACAGTGAAGGAATTATGTATCCTTACAACGACAAAGATGAGTATAGTTTTGACGAAAACTATGAATTTGATGATTCCGATTATCTTTCTAATCAAGAAGAGAATGAAGATTGTTTTAAATGAAGTTGAATGACAATTTCTTCGTTGCCAAAGTCTATAAACCTGTTTTTACCGTCTTTGATTTCCAGATTTATATCTTTGATCATGAAAGAATTGACTGGTAAATAGGTTGTTTGAAACGGTTCCTCTATAATTCTGTATCCGATCGGCACCGTAAAAGTCGGTATGCTGTATATGATTTGACGTTTGTGCTTGTTGAAAAATCCACCGTTGATCAAATTACAGTGAATGTTGATCACGTCGATATCGTTCTCGATGTTGGCCTTGTGCGGCGCCAATGTCGATTGCGCGTATATTCGTTTATCGAACCCTAGTAACGCATTCAACGAATTTTCTACGTTGAAATCGACTTGACTGTTATTTCTCAAGATCAGTTTTATTTTGTTCAGATTCAAATAACTTCGAATTCGATATTGTTTTTGCCGTTCACGCTTCCTGCGTATTCGGATAGGTATTCGTTGATGTCTACGTATTCGTAGCTCCCCGGTAGTAAGCTTATGGTTTCGAACGTAACTCCGTTATCCGTCGATATTTTTAGTTGATTGTTTTTTTCGTTGATATTTCTAATGGAATTGTAAACGGAGAAATACTTTAATCCCAGTTCGTACTGTTTATTGCGATCGAGTTCATACTCGTAGTCTAGAGACAATTTGATGTCTGGTTTATTCGAGGTGATAACGAACAATTGTTCTTTATTGGACATTTTTAATGACGTTTATATAGTCTTTTTTAGTGATTATTTTTTTCTCCAAAAGCCGTTTTAATATGGCATTGACTTCGTTGTATTGTCTGTCCGATCGATGACCTTCCTTCATGGCCGCTAATATTATTTCTAATCTATTAAGCAATTCTTTATTGTCGTCGGATAAAAACGTTATACCTTCTCCAGATACCATATCTCCGAATTCGTCTATTTCTTGTATGATTGGTGGATAATCGTCTGATTTCTCTTCATCAGGAATAACTTTATTTAAATATGTTTCAACTGTTTTCAATCTTCTTGTTTGGGGTCCTGACTTTCTTATTGCATGTAGAAATTTTGAGTATGCAACTAAATCCTTGTAATCGGCAATTTCAACATCTTCGCCATTCATTAAATCTATTAATCCTTTCGTTAATGTAAATATAAAGTCTTTTGTGTCGATTTTGAATAAGGGGGAATTTGGACTAAATATTATTCTAAATCCATTAAACAATAATCCTTGATTATCAACGATTGGTGAAATGCTCTTTGGTAAATCTGGGTCAGGGTTTGAAAAAAGACGTTTTATATCATCTAATGTCCTAATTATAATACCATTATATTCAATCGGTTTGGGTTCTATATGAGGTGTGGGTTCTAAAGCTAATTTCTTTTTAATATCCTCTTGAGATTTTAATATGGGTTGAAATAGAGTCTGTAGATTTTCCGTTAATCCGAGTTGTTGTAATCTGTTATTTTCAACTTGGGTCTTTATTTTATTCTTAGTTTTGATATATTCTCTATTCCTTTTTAAAAAATTATTCCAATCCGTCATTTTTAAAAAAATAAAATTAACATATATCGATCATAACTCTTTCTCACGCAGGTTTTCTAGTATTTACAAATACATATCCATGATCATCAGGGTTTCTCCATTGAGCTTTACAAACCTTTTTAAATGTATCTCTATCCATTCCGTGATTTATAGACTGAATGATTTGAGATAAATCTTTATCGTTTAATTCAAATAATAAAAAACAATTGCA